TACATACATACATACATACATACAACATTCGCCAAATTATAGTAAGATAAGATAGCCGAGTCGGTGTACAGTTAGTGTTGGGTTCGGGACAGGTTAACTGTTTGTACTTGTGTATTGTCTGCAGTGCATGCGTGGTACGGTAAAAATACACGCGTCGGGTGTCCTGGTCAAATGGGAATTCTTGACGACCGATTCCCGCGCTGGCAAACTTTTATTGTGGTGGAATTTAATCGGGGCGGAGGTAATTTAAACGGGGCGCAACGATTGAAACAAGAAGGAGTTTTCCCAAACGGGGCGCGCGCGCCCCGTTTGCGCAACGTAGGGAGAACCCTGCTACTTATGTATAGAGTATTTAACTCTGTCTGTCTGTCCGCCCGCTCATCCGCCCGCCCCCGCCTGCCCGCCTGTCTTTATTTCTGTTTGTCTGTCCGTCCATCAACTCGTCTGTCCGTTCGTCTGTCGTGCTTTCACACTCTCCCTCTCTGTCCATCTCTTATATGGACTTACATATATCCATATTGTTGCAGTTAGTTAACGACGGCTACTCACAGCGGTGGCGATGACGCTGAGCCAGCACTGGCACTCGAGGTAGAGCTGCGCGAGTGCACCACCGCATGCTGGCTCTTGTCCGAGCGCACGCTTGTCAGCATCACTCCGTCGCCACCAGAGGACGCCACTGCCCTCTTCTCCTTCTTCGACAGCACATTGCCGTCTGGATTGTAGTCCTGGAGAAGCGAGGAAAAAAATCTTAGTGCGTTTGTCAAGAAGAGAAGCGTAGATTCAACGAGAAGGGCACCTGTGTGTGCTGCGCTGTTAGCCTTTCAACTAGTCATAGAAGCTCTAGCGCACCCTGATGGAATAATTAGCTATAAGATTTATATGTACAATACAATATAACAATCGGCAATAGTTATTATACTGAGAGCGGAAAACGAGCATGATTGCATCAGATCACCACGACCTACAAGTCCATTGATTTCACGAAATGGAGTGATGGCAAAAACTGTCAATGAACAGTGAGTGAGATACAAACGATGAGAGAAAATGTATGAGAGACTCATGCAAAAGTGATTCCAGATAACAAAATGAAGAGCAGAATGAGAAACGGAAAATATCCAAAGACAGTGAAGGACAGTGAATCCAAGACGTGAAATGAAATCGTGAAGATGTCAGGGACACTACCATCCACGACAAATAAAACAACGGGTTTTAAAACCCTGTCAGGGTTGCCCCGGCAAAACACAGCGGCGACCAAACACACGTAAGACCCAAGAGATGTGCACACATGAAGATGTTAGTAGTCGTGAAAAGGCGTCGTCGCCGAATCCACGCAGCGGCCCACTGCTACGAACTCAGTGAGCTCATGTTAGTAAACGAATGCGTGAACGCTGCCGGCAAGGTTGCTGCAGACGACAGAGAGAGAAGGGCGCGCTATTCCATCCAACCTAGAAGTGATGAGTGCATGTTAGCTTGTCGAGCAGACATCCATCCACCAGACACTCCGTAGTGTGCGGAGCATTCTGCTCGGGAGGCGTGCGTGCCCCACCCCTCCCGGCAGGCATGCACAAGGAGAGCGAATTCCCCCCCTCTCCCACCGAGATTTGCTCGCGACTACTACTTTGAATTCATCCTCGTAGCGCCTCATGTTAATGTTGGTGAGTTTGATGGTGTTTGCGGTTGCCACGGCGCCCTTGCGCATCACCGTCATCTGCTCGGCCGTCCCGCTGACGATGCTGTGCAGGTCCTCGCTGTACTCCTGTCAGGCAGACGACACAATGTACAGACGCACAGCTTCCAAGTTCTCTCTCCCGTACAGAAAACTTTCTAAAAACTCTTCTACGATAGGAATCGTCCAAGGCACAAGTTCTAGCACATGCGGCGCGACCACGAAGTGTTTATATTCTACGACGATATATATAATATATATATATATATGAAAACACACACATGCACACACACACACACACGCACGCACGCACGCACGCGCGCACACACACACACACACGCACACACACACGCACGCACGCACGCACACACACACACGCAGCCATGCACGCACGCACACACACGCACACGCAGCCACGCACGCACGCACACACACGCAGCTATGCACGCACGCACACACACGCAGCCATGCACGCACACACACACACGCACGCAGCCATGGGCGGGCCACCGTCAATGCTACTGCACAACTATGGCTTGACACGTGCTCCTCGTACAGCTCTACACATCTAACTAAATCTCAACACTGCACCGCTGAAATACGACGAAGGAGCGGTCTAGCAGACTATCTTTGACCCAACTTGCCTGAAGATGAGAGCTAGTGAAAAATAACAAAATAACTCGAAAAGGTCAAAAGTCGCCATGCCGCAAAGCTCAATCGTCATGCAACAAAGATCGGCAATCATGCAACAAAGACGGCGGGTGGGTCGGCAAAGGTAACGATTGGAGAGCAATCGACTGATTTACGGTTGCTGATCACGACTGCTCTACTGTCTCTCTACTTCACTACTTTACTGAGCATGCCTGCGGTGAGTGGGTTCGACTGCGGAATTCAGCCGGACGATCCCGTGCAGTGACGACGACCGTACGAATCCGCGTGCGGTTTCCCGCATGACGTCGCACGTGCGTTCGCTTCCCGCGTAGCATTCAGTTGCGTGTGGAATGCACGGGATGTGAGCACCAGTCGTGTACTGCCATCGTGACGCAGGAGTTAGTTCCGCTGATGCGAATCAAACTCAGGGAAACGTGGGGGACGAGTGAGTGAGAGAGCGAGTGAGTGACAGAGTTGCCGTACTTCTCGCTGGCCCATCGTTCCCGGCTCTCCTCGCTGTCGACAAAGTCGTCGCCGAACGGATTTTCCGGCACTGCCGTCTTCTCCCTGTAACGTTATACGCAGAGGCCGGTGAAGGGAGGGGAGTAGAGGATCGGCTGCTGCTTCGCAAGAAAATTAGATGAGAGGAAAAAGGTGGCATCGTTCCCACAGGTAGGTCAGGTCGTGGGTGAGAAGCTCTACACGTTTCACGGTGGCAATAACTTCTCCTTTTAATTCACACCGAGAACTTGAAATTAATGTCACCTACTATTTGTTCTGGTAAATATTGATTTATCTATACGTCTATCCATCTACACACATAGCCAACTACCTACTCAGGGTTCTCCCCAGGATAAAATTCAAACAGGGGGGAGGGGAGGGGGAGGGGGAAACTAGGG